ACAATGGTGTGGTACTAGGAGCAGGGGCCAGTTTTGGAAAAGGTACTCTTAAGCTCCTTGACACCCTGACACCTAATCTTTTCTTTCTGATCCCTCTGGGACCAAAGCGCTTCAGAGAGGCAGCTGCTGTGTTTCAGGAGACTCTGAAAGGTGGGTCCCAGCCTGATGCAGCCCGAGAGCTCCGCTCTTGCCTTCTCCAACTCACACTGGTAAGGGGGCCAGGCCCACTGTCATGCTGAGGCGGGTATCGGGGAGAATTGGCTGGGATTGCAATACCAAGCCTCAGGTGGCTAAGGAGGGGGTGGGGAAGGATGGGTGGAATGAGAGGCATGGGCTGTCCTGCTTAGAAGAAGGATCTGGTGCCCTTCTCTCTCCCTTCTCAGCAGGGTCAGCGAAGAGGAATCTGTGTACCACCTCTGTCACCTGGGGCCCTCCAGCCACTTCCCCATGCTGAGCTGGGAGCCTCAGGCCTACCTTCCCTCAGGTGCCCTCGAAGCACTGCTCCGAGGTCCCCTGGCCTGTGTCCACTCTTGCATTATCCTCCGTGTCACCGAAGCCACCCCAGCCAGCCCCTCTCCCAGACTCAGAGTAGAAGGCCCCATCCTCTCCAGCCCCAGGATTCCTCAAAGGGCTGGGACATCCTGGGACTTGGGCTCCAGCATCTACCTCAGGCCAGATGAGGGGGTACCAGTCCCTATATACATCCCATGGCGGGGGACATAGTGTGGTGACACTTCACTGCATATTTTGAGACCTTATTCTCTAGATCCATAGTTAATGATGTCCCTAGCAGTCATTCCTCTTGCCATGGGGAAGTTTCTGATGAGAGAAAGGAGCCCCACATCCATTGAAACATCCTTTGGTTCTCAAGCAGAAGGCTTCTTCTGGGGGCAGTAAGGAAAAATAAAACCCAACAAGGCTCAAGAAGGGAACTATAGGAAAGTTCAGGTTTTTAGGCTATAACAGAGACAGTGAGAAAGCATCTGGGCCTTGCTCTTCCTCTTGGTCCTGGGGGCCTCATTCACCAACTAGAGCTTGGTGTGCAGGAACAGGGTCACAATGCTGAGGGGTCTTGAGTCCCACCTTTCAGCTTAATAGATGCTCACCTCTTCCCAGCCCCAGCTCATGCCCTGTTTTTCTAGCCACAGCCCCCAGATTGCTCACAGCTCCTCATGCCATTTCCTGTCCAGATAGCTGTGTATGACTCTGACCTCTCTTGTTCAGTGGTCTGGTGCTCACCTCCTCTCACTGCTAGAATATTCACCAAGGGTTGCATTTGGGAAGTCTCTTACCAGCTCCTGCTTAGAGCTGGTAGGGCCATACATGTCCACGCTCCTGACTGGTGGCTCTCCTGCTGAATGGGGCCTCAGCAGGTGCCCAGGCTGCTACAACCTTGGCCACTCTATTTCTCTACCCCACCATTGGGCATTGTAATTAGCCTTTCCCCATGTTAATTTATTCAGTTTTTCCAAGGGTCAACTGAATTCACCACTTCCTGTGTAAGAATCATGATCTCCTTTTAATTTCACCACTAAGATCCTGGCAGCTTCCCCTAGCTGGTTCCTCCGTAGTCCTACTGGGACTGTCAGCTCATTTAAATGTGGGCCTGCAGGAGGCTTTAGCTCTCCCCCAAGCCCCTTGCCTTTCACAGAGGAACCATTCATCAGGATAAATGATTATTGCTGCCCTATGGGTCTTGCTCAATACTGTTCATACCTGGAGAGAGGAGGTATTGAAACATCTCCTTTATGTGTGACTTTCGCAAATTTTAAAAACTTGTTTATGGTTTAGGCCCCTTAAATACTGTGTAGCAGGATGAAGTCTACCATTACCAACTGAGTCACCTTGGACGGGTCTGTCAACATCTAAGCCTCAGTTCCCTCGTCTATAAAAATGAGGGTAGTCCCTACCTCATAAGAGATATTGTGAGGATGGAAAGCGAAAGTGTGAGAAAATACCTCCCAAGTGCCTGGTACATAGTGGGTGCTAAATAAACCAGTTTTTGTCTGCAACTGTCCTACATAGTCATGCTTCCCACAGTAGGAAGAGAGGAGTATGGGTGAATTGGTACTGAAATTCACAAAATCTATAGTTCTGGGACTGTGATTCTCAAAGTGTGGTTTCTAAGCTAGCAGCATCAGCATCATCCAGGAACTTATTAGAAATGCAATTTCTCAGGCTGGGCACGGTGGCTCACGTCTGTAATCCCAGCAGGGGAGATTACAGGGAGATTACTTGGGAGGCCAAGACGGGTGGATCAGGTCAGGAGTTTGAGACCAGCCTGACCAACATGGAGAAATGTCTCCTCTACTAAAAATACAAAATTAACCAGGCGTAGTGTCACGTGTCAAGTAGCTAGTAATCCCAGCTACTCGGGAGGCTGAGGCAGGAGAATCACTTGAACCCGGGAGGTGGAGGTTGCGGTGAGCCAAGATCGCGCCATTGCACTCCAGCCTGGGTAACGAGCAAAACTCCTCTCAAAAAAAAAAAAAGAAATGCAATTTTTCAGTCCCCATCCTAGACCTTCTATGTCAGAAACCATGGGAGCAGAGCCCAGCAATTTGTGTTTCAATAAACCTACCAAGTGATCCTGATACACACTATTCGAGGGCTTAGCTGAGCAGACCTTGATCCAGAGGCCATTTTGGTGGGACAGGTTTGAGTTTTGTTGTCCAAGGCTTGAGTGTAAGAGGTGGCAGTGCTAGCTGGGCGAGAATTTGGGAAACCTTAACGGGGAGAGAGGTTATGACTCAAAGCCAGTTAACTTGACTGGACCCTACCTTCCTAACTAGAAGGATTTGCTGTGAGAGTTCTTTGCTCACCCCTGGTTGGGGAGCAGGATGGGCATAGGTGGTTGTGTTTGTTCAAGGGGTGATTATATTACAGTGGTTCCATAAGAGGTCTGCTCATCTGGCTTTCCGTTTTTGAGCAGGGACCTGCACGCTTTTGGGACTTCTGTGGGGCTCCTGGCCTCTCAAACAATGGCCGCCCACCACTACTCAATGGTATTTTTGCCTTCCAGCTGAACTGGCTCCTTGTTCTAGCTTCTCAAGTAAATGTTCCCTCCCCGGTACCTTAGCCTGTCCTGGACTTCTAGGTTTTCCAAGAGTCATGTGACTCCTGACACTTTGCCCCACTTTCACCCTCCTAATTAATAGGGGTCTGACCCAATAGCCTGAGTTCTGAGTTCCCAGGACTGGAAAGTTGGGTGACCAACCATCCTGGTTTTCCTGGAACTGAGGGATGTCCTGGAATGAGGGACTTTCAGTGCCAAAACTTGGAAAATGCTGGGCAGATGGAAAAGAGTTGATCACTCTACTGGAAATGTTCCAGAGAGGCATTATTTAGAAGGTATGAAGGGAGTACTGAGGGGGCAATGCAGTTGCAAAGAGGTTTTTTTTGCATATGCATAATGGCTGACAGATTCTTAGCTCTACACCAGTGGTCACTGTCTGTTTCCATGTTGCCATTTTTCTTCCAGTTGCCGACATTTGCTAGGTTGTCATTGACTCATGCAATCCTTAATCCCTGGGGCAATCGCAGATTCCTCTTCTGTGACCACCTCCCAGCCCCACCTCAAGTCTGGCCCTGAGTTCTCTGTTGTTACCTTCTGCAGTGGCCAGAGATATACTCCCTTCCTCAGGTCTCTATCAGTCTCTGATCCACCCTGCGCCCACAGCCAGATTGGCCTACCCTAAACAATGGTCTCATGTCTCTCTCTCAAACCTCCAGGGACCATGCTCTAAAGTACAATGCCTAAGTTCCTACCTGTGGCCCTTTCTCCTCCCCTCTCTCTGTAAATCCTTTGCTGCTTTCCTTTAGGATCAGTCACCTTTATAGAGACCAAGAGCATGGGCTCCTGAATTAGACAAGCAAACAACTCAGTCCCTGTGCTACCACTTGCAAACTGTCACGTGGCCAAGTTTCCTCAGGGTTCTGTGATTCAGTCTCCTTATCCTTAAAATGGGAAGAAAATTCTCTGTCCCGTTGGGTTATTTTAAGGATTAATACCTGCAAAGCACTTGGAACTGCTTAATAAATGGTAGTTAATTGTCTGAAAATGCCAGGTTCCCTTCTACCTTCCAGCCTTGTTCACTCCCCAAGGCATATCCTCTCTTGGGCCCTCCACCTGCAACTAAGGCCCTAGCTGACCCCCCTTGAACCCATGGAGCTTCCTTGAAAGTGGGGTTGTCACACTTAGGCAGAGGCAGGAGAAAGTCTGAAGAGAGCTGGAGGACTGACAGGAGAGAAGGGAAGCAGGAAAGACACCTGAGCTTGGTCTGGGACCATTGGGGAGGGGAAGGCTTGCAACTACTGAGCGTTCCCCCTCCTCTCCCCTCATACTGCAGGAGGGTGATTATCACCAGTGGAATAAATGAATGTCAGAAATGTCCACTGGCTGAGTTAGGCTGGAATCCCTACCAGGCAAGGCCACTACTCCAAGCTTCACCCCAGCGGGCCAGGCCTTTCCACCCTCTGGCTGCTGGCACCATCATAGTGGGAACATTTCCAGCCCAGGGGCCTGGCAGAGGGCTTCCAAGTAGGGGTGTGGCCTCTCTGGGCACCCATCTCTTTGCCTGTGTCCCAGCGGAGGGTTCTTTTGGCAGGATGGGGAAAGGGTCAGGCACCCATTAACAAATGACCTATGGGTAGGGAAGCAATGTCATCACCCTGGGGCCAACCTAGGGATTAGAATGAAGGTCTCCCAGGCACAGAGTAGGTGGACCAAGACCCCACTGTCTTTCACTTAGGCCCGGTGACTTCCCCTTGGTAGACTGGTAAGCATCAGTCCTGATGGCTGGCTGGATGCTGGGTCCAAAACTTGACCTTAGGGTTCTTACTTTGTAAAAATGGCGTAATTATTACCTACCTTAAGGGTTGCTATAAGGGCTAAAGGAAACATTGCATTGAAAGCCCTGGCACAGTGCCAAGTGCAGACTCCATAGCACTACAGATTTTACTGTTCTTTGTTCATGACGGGAGTCTGAATAGAGGCATGGTGCGGCAGAGTCTCGACTTTATTCTAAAATATTGGGAAAGGTAGCCTGGACAACATAGCGGGACCTCCTCTCTAAAAAAAAGTTTTTAAAATTAGCCTGAGGTGGGGTTGCACGTCTGTAATCCCAGCTAGTCAGGAGATTGAAGCAGGAGGATTGCTTGAGCCAAGGAGGTCGAGGCTGCAGTGAGTGGTGATCGCTCCACGGCACTCCAGCCTGGGCGACAGAGCGAGGCCCTGTCTCAAACAACAAAACAAACTTACCAAAAAAAAAAAAACCGGGAAAGGTGAGCGTCTGGACTGTGGGCCGGAAGAGGCCCAAGTGGACCTCCTTCCTCCACCCTGGAACTCGGGCAGGAGGCAGAGCACTAGGTGAAGAGTCCCGGACCCCAGAGCTCAGGGTTGGCGGCGGCTTTGTCTTCAATCGTCCACCTGTATCTCCTCGTCTGACTGGTGGGGCCGGGAGTCAGGGCCGGCGGGTCCGAGGCGGAGGCTGGGATCTGGAGCGCCGTCGGGCAGTGCTAAACTGCACAGGACTTCGGGGGACAGCGCACGTAGCGAGGCGACGTCGGCGCGCATCTCCTCCACGTCGCGCTTAAGCTTGGCTCGTCGGTTCTGGAACCAAGTGACCACTTGCGCGTTGGCCAGGCCTAGTCGCGTAGCTAGCCCGTCTCGCTCGGACGGCGCCAGGTACTTCTGGAAGACAAAGCGCCGCTCCAGCTCCAGCACCTGTTGCGCGGTGAACGCCGTGCGTGACTTGCGCCGTTTGCGGCCGGCAGGGCCAGGGCCCAGCGCGTTCGCGGCTGCCCGCCCTGCAGGGATAGGGAGGAGGTCAGTTTCCAGTCTCCGGGAATCAGGCTGCGGCCTGGAAAGAAAAATTGGGGGTGGGGTTGGGCCGGTGGCGGTGGGGAAAGTAGAGGGAGAGCCAGGAAGGCGGATGGGGACCCGAACTGTGATCCCTTATCGGGAGTCAGGCCCAGGTGGGGATAGGGGGCGCAAAGCGGGCTGGCCACAAGGATACGAAAGGCAGCAGACTGAGGGCGTATTGTAGGGGCAAGGAAGTGAAGGAAGGGAGGGATGATTCAGAGGGGACCAGGTGCAGGGTCAAACCTTCTGGGGTGGAGCCTTTGAGGCTTTTAGGAGCCTCAGGCTGAGCAGGCTATAGGTTGAGGGTGACACCAGAGGCGAGTAAGAGTCAGGGCAGCCGACCCAGCGTGGCGGTGTTAACAGGACTTAGATCATGCCCTTCCATGGATTGGGTCGGGCATTCGGCTTACAGTTCCTTAGTGACACCAGAGCCCGCTCCTCGAGCCCAAAAGGGAAGATAATGAGGTACAGAAAGCGAGGAAAAGCAGAGTGCGCAGTCCCGCGCCCAATGCTGCGCCAAGGACTTTCTGCTCCTTGACTCCTCTCGAGAAGAGAGTGCCTTGGAGCGGAGCTTGGTCACACGGAGAGACTCGACCCTCTTTCCAGCGCTTTCTGTGCCTCCCTTGCAGGCTCAGTCGTTTACCGCCTGCGGCTCAAGCCTTTTGTCTCTTTCTCTCCTGCCTTTCTCTATCGCGACTGCCCTGCCTACAGGGAACAGAGCAACTGGTAGCTCAGTTGGCGACAGTCTGCCCTTTCCCTGCGGTACTGGCGGCCTTCCGGAGCCGCCGCGGAAACTAGGGACTAACGGAAGAGAGGTGAGAAGTCGCAGGTGCGAGTCCTGGCATGTGGGCTGAGGACAGGGGACGGATTAGGGTGGGTGGCCTGGGTGGGACAAAGGTTTGAGACAGGGAACCAGGAGGAGAGAGGTGGGGAAAAGGCCAAGTCAGAGTCCGCGACCTTGCCGGCTCTATACCTTCAGAGGGCTGCGGAGCGCGCGCGTCAAGTCCGCGGAAAGTTTTACTAGTCAGCTCCTCCAGCGCGCACAGCGGCGACGTTGGACCCGGACCCGACTCTGGAAGCTGCGGCGCAGAGGGTGCTCGGGGGACCATGCCCGGGGCTAGGATGTCTGCGATGCTTAAGAGTGTCCGGGGTGTTCGGGGCTCGCGTCCCGAGTTCATGGTCGGCCGGGCTGGGGCGGTCCCGCTGCCCGCTGCGCTCGGCTCCGCAGCCGCCTGGGCCCCACCGCTTGGCTCCCGATCCGGGCCCCTAGCCTCGGACCCGCCCCCGGCTCTGGGCCCGAGTCCCGTGTGCCCCTCCTCCTGCGTCCCCACCTCTCCACCCTGGGCCCTGGTGGGTTTGGAGCTCCTAGATGTCCGGGGAGGGTAATTCTGCAGGCTGGGGCAGGCGCGGAGAGCAGAAGCCGACCAAACTACCCTTCAGAGCAGGGCCGCGGGGCTGCTCCGCGCTGCGGGGTGCTGCACTGTGCACAGTCAGGCCGGGCCATACCTCCAGACGCTGTATGCCGCCGACTCCCCGCCTAGCAGCCGCTCTGGCTCATAAACTCGTAGACGATAAAATTGCCTTCTCTGGCCCCAGCGGCTGGGGATTTGCAAAGTTCTAAGGAAGGCTATCAGGGCTGACTGTGCTGGGATATCTGATCCCAGCTAGGACCTCAGTCTCCTAACCTGGCTCCCTCTTCCCCACCCCACCCCTGAGAAACGTTGTTTAAAAGGTCCTGGCGGCTGGAAGTGATTAGTGCTGCGTGGGTCGGGGGCGCAACACTTGAGAGGACCTGGCCTGGCAGAGCGACTGCAACTGGGAGTAGTGGGGATGCCACGAAGAAGCAAGCACAGGTGAATGGATTCTAGGCTGCCCCACCTGACGAGGTCAGAACACACAGAGAAGCTGCCAGGAGACCCGGGCCGCAGGAGAGAAGACCCAGGGAACTCCAAACTGGTGCAACTGCCCAGGAGGGGTCTTTGTCAGTGAGGACTGGCAAAATCAGTCAATTTCGTCTGTCTTTGTCTTCTTCTTCTTAAGCTTCCATAGTTCAGGTATGTATGGTTTCCCCAGCCTGTGGAGGCTCAGAAACTGCCAAGGGGAGCAAGGTGCCCTGGCCAGAGAGGGGTCACTCCCCATAGAAGAGAGACTTGAAGGGCAGACTTTACGAACCCAACTGGATTTTGGGACAGGCATCCTGACAACCCAGGTGCTAACTGTGAGGCCTGGTGTATTCATTCCTCTTTAATCTGGGTTTTATCTGCCACACTTATACTGGTTCTGGGCTCATACCTGGGTAAGCACCTGCAGCCCTCCTTTGTAGGAAGAAGGCAGCTCAGGGACAGCGGTGCCTCAGCAGTGGAGACCCAGCAAGGTATGGGTTTTGTTCCTACATTCCACCCCAAACAGTTGGAGGATTGACAGCCCAGAGGCAGGGAAGCCCTGCCACTCCTGAGGAGCCTGCAGCTTTGCTGCCCAGGGAAGTTAGAAACTGATGTGCTTCTAGCTTTTTAAAACAGTGCCACGAAGAACCAGGCCAGTCCCTCCTGGACTGTCCATTATGTCACTTTCCTTGTAGACTGCTGCGTCTCCCACCATCTGTGCAGTGTCCACCTGTCTATTCCCGGGGGCAACTGCAGCATGCAATTGGGGTTCCCTAAACAGGGCTTAGGAGATCCAAGGCACCTGGGCCAAAGACTCTTTGACAAAGATGGGAAGGCACCTTCATCGGGTCTTCTTGGTAAAGGGCTCACTCCAACAACCCCCCTCCCCCACCCGCAACATTCACACAATGCCCTCCTGGAAAGCTGAGCAACACACTTAAAGCCTGATAGGCCACTGCTGGATCAAAGAGCAGAGCCAGGCCATGGTGGAAAGCTGAGCTGCCTCAGGACCTTGTTAAATGGTTATTAATGGTGAGGGGCAGAGGAGGTCCTGGAGAGATCTTCGGGCTACAGGCCTCAGCCCTGGAAACCATCCCAGTGGTTTCACTTAATGTGCAATAAAGCAGCTCTCTGGAGGCAGCAGGAACTGCCCCACTGCATCCCAGGCATGTCACCAAGCAGACGCTGCAATCTTCACTCATACATCCTCTATGTGGCTTTTGTGTCTGTCTCTACCTCTGCTCTCAATTACTTGTGTGTGTCTGTGAGGAGTGCGGAGCTCCTTATGGGCCTGTGCCTTGCAGCCCCTTCCATCTCTCCCGCCTGGTTCTCCCCTCTGCAGCTGGGCTCAGGTACTGGGATTGGACAGCTCCCAAACATGAGTTTGGGGGAGGAGATGGAAGTGGAGACTAGCAAAGGGAGGAGGCCAGGACAGCAGAGGCCCCTCTAAGGTCATCATAGCGGCCAGGGACTAGTCCAGGGGATCGTGGGGCCACAGAAGGGGACTTTTCCCAGTACTGGAACTCGAGCTGGGGAGAAACCGGATCCACAGAGAGGGGTAGGAGGAGGGTGAGTGATTAATGAGGAAGATTAAGAGATTAAACCTTGTTCTAGGTTGGGGAGGGGACACTTACTCGGCTGTCCTATAGGCTACCCCCAACCCCAGCTTGGAAGCGCAGAAAATCCCGGGTGCTCGCCTCTTCCCGCCCACGGGTGGAACCCTCCCTGTTCAAGATCCTTCTCAAGAGATGCAGGGAGGCCAGCCTTCACCACTGGCCCCGCGGGGCGGGGCGGACGGTTTTCCTTCCCCGTCATCCTCAGGCAATCTCTTGTGTTTCCCACCTTCTCAGATTCCTTTTATTGTCCCTTCAGACATTTCAGGGCCCTGCACTCCCTCCCCTTGTAGAGATCCCCACATTCCAAATTCGGTCTCTTGGGAAGGCACCCCATTCCCACTTAAGGATGCTTTCTCACACCTCCCCTTTCAGATTTCCCATTCTCATCCCCCAGCCCTACCCCCACCTCATCTTGCATACCCCATCGGCGGATTCCTCCACCCAGGGCTGCCCCTGCTCAACCCAGTTCCCCACTGGTGGCACAGAGTCCTGCTCAATAAACGACCTTTAGTCTCTGATTGCCTGGCCCGGACATTCCACTGAATTCTGTGAATGTGTAGGAGGGTTGGAGTAACCCCTTAGAATAACCCGTTGGGGAGGTGGACAAGGACAGTCTCAGAGAAGAGCTTGCCCCCCTCCTCCCCACCCTTAGGGAACATCCGTGAACGGGAGTGAGAGGGAAGTGGGAGTTCAGGGAGAAAAGTCCAGGCAGAGGAGCGTGAGAAGGGGCGTCCGTCCGTCCCGCACACTTCTGGGATTGTTTTCTCTTTCAAAAAGAGCTACTGCGGAGTGAACCGATCCTTATATTTTAGTTTCATGACTTGGGGCGCGGCAGGCCTATGAGTTGTTTTGCTCCCTGGACGTTGTTTTGCAAAGATCTCTGCGCGCCCACCGCCACCCTCCCAGGTGTGCGGGTGGGGAAGCAGCCAGCGGTGGGAAACTCGGACGCCCTCCCCGACACTTTTCTCCCCCCAACTCCGCAATAATCACTTCTAGGGAAGTCCTTTTTCCCATCAAGCCCTGGGAATGATTGGCCAGGCTGAGAGAGGGACCCGTCCTCCTCTGTGCCAAAGGCTGGAGCAAATCCTGGTGCTGTCGCCTTTGCGTGTGAGTCCTGGAAATGGCGGGGTTGAGGAAGGTGGGCAGAGGCAAGGTTTGGCCCCCCAGGGGAGAACGGACGCCTTGTCCCGAAAGTGCAGCACGGCCGAGAGCGTCCGGGGGTGCAGACAGCGCCCTGGGGTGGTCCTGCCGCCGCCTCTCCTTTGACTCCGGAGCGCCGCGCCGCGTCCGGGCGCGTTCTCAGTTGCTCGATGCCAGAGAGGACCCTGGGCGTGATTCTCCCTCCCTGGCACAGACGGAGACCCGAGTGACCCCGGGGTCCGGGTGGGAGTGGGGAATGGACCCACAGGCCCGGGACGAGCGGCGCGGAGCCCGCAGCTGGCCAGCTTCAGCCCCCTTGGGAGACGCAGTGCAGCTGCCGCTGCTGACAGACTAGACCAAGGCTCAGCGGGGCCCCACCCCAGATCCGGCCAGAGCGCCTTCCGCGCTGCTTGGCCTCAAGGCGTGAGTCACCAAGGGCCTCAAGTCCCGTGACTTGGTTCTCAGGGTCTCCGGCCTCGGGCCCATTAATCTTCAGACCTGGCTTTTTCGACGCCGAGCTGCCGCCCAGCCCCAACGGGAGGGCCTTCCAGGGAGACCAAGTCGGACTGCTCCCCAACTCCCGCAGCTGCTCGGCCCCTGCAAAGCCCCCGGGAGCGTTTCTACTCTCCCTTGAGCCCATGCCACTCCCCTGTCACTCCTAGGAAACTCGTTTTTGCGCAGAAACTCCTGGAGAACAGCCCTGGGCGCCACGTACTTGCCCGGACTGCAAAGCCCACAGAGCTTCAATTCGGAGGAAGAGGAGTGGGGAGCCCTGAGCTGGGGTGTTCCTGGAGGAGGTCGAGGAGGGGGCTAGTGGGGGAGAGGCATTCCCTGGAAACGTTTGGAAGCTTTGGTAATCTTGGAGACCATGTCAGGAAAGAAGCGTACCCATGCCGTCTGCGGTGTGCCCACCCGGGTCCCCATCAGTGCCCCACGGACTCGAGCTCTTCCTCGGCGTCTGCTGCCTCTTCATCCGCGCGGAGAGGCGGAGGTCTCCCGGAAAGCCAGTCTGACTGTAGCACCCCAGAGCGTCCAATGCGAGCTCAGGCCTTTCCCACAAGTCTGGAGTTTTCTTACCCAGTTGAGGCCACCTTTGCTGTACTCACTCCCTACCCTCCCGCCCCATCCTCTGCCACCCTACCTCCATCTTTGATGGTTAGCGCCTTCAGCCCTCAACAGCTTCGCACAACCAATCCCCTAGAAGCTGTGAAGTCAGACCAGCCAGGGTGGGACCTAGGTTTTAACTCGGGTTCTGGCTACACATGCTGCGCCTCCGTACAGTTTGTCCCAGATTTGGCAGCAGGCCGGAACTCTGCTTTGGCCTCTGTCTGTTCCTGTCGCAGTTGGGCAAGTTTCTAGCTACCCCACTGAGAGGACCATAGAACAAGGACCCTGGCATGGCATACAGACAAGGAATGTTTGCTCAATTAATGGAGCTGGTGCCTTGCAGCTTCCCTCTTGTTCCTTGAAGTTGCCCTTGCTGTCCTCCACATCAGCTCCCTCCCCTCCTCAGCTACTTATTCTCCATCCTGACTTCTAGTCTTGGTCCCCAAGTACTTGTTGAATTCTGTATGGACAGCCAAGCATCCACTTTTGACAATCCCTGTGGCCCCACCCCATTTGTTTTTTAGACTTCTCCCTCCTTTTTGTCCCCATCCCCCAAGTTATAAAACTATAACACAATTCTTTGGATTTTTTTTTTAAATATCTCACTTGTTCAATCCTGCAGCAGCCACTGTCCAACTCCAGCCTTCTCACCACCGCTGAATTAGGACATCTCCTAAGAGGCCCGCACCCACACTGTATGCTGCAGCATACAAGGACAGCTGAGAGCTCCCCTCGAGGAAGGCTTCCCATCACCAAAAAGAGTGGTGTGGGAGGCCTGGTTTCACACATATAGGGATCCTCTACCCTTCTCCTTTGGCAAGACATTGAGGACCCATGGCCATAGAGCACAGGTCCTTCTTCACAATGAAACTCAGGATTTTTGAAGAAGGCAGGACACAGCATGAGTGTGAGGCAGGAAGAATAAGGAAGAGAGGTGCTTTTTAGAAGTTTTTATTTCAAAAAATAAAGCTGCAGTTCATTTCACATAAATATCTGGGGAGGGAAGGGGAGTGGGATGGGGTGGGGGCTTGGCCCCTACCTCCTCTTCTCTTTCACACTGTATTGTAAAAGCAAAGGGGATGGCTAAGGAGAGAATGAGGAAGTAGTAGTCAGTGGGGAGTATTATTCTATTATCCAAAGGGCCCCTCAGCCCACCCTTCCCCTGCAGACTGTGGGTTGGTTGGGGGGAGTCTGAAGGGGGGTGAAGCCAGGGAGGGTGGCCTGGCTTACCTTGCCGAACCAGCGGGAGAGCCATATCTGCTTCATTGTCATGTGATCAGGGAGAACTTCATTGTCAAAAAGGAGCTGCACCTAGGAGGGAGATGGGGGTATAATTTTAGGAACTTTCTGGCAGGTCAAAAACTACCCTCGTCCACCCTAGACTTTGTCCCTCCTTTCTTAGCCCCTTCTCCCCTCCAAGAAACCAACTGTGAGACTACTCACATGCTGAGGGTTTAGCATCAAGCGGTGACACAGGACCCTCCGGAGATGGCGTACCTCAGCTCTAACAGAACATCGGACATACTTGTTCTGGGAGCAGGGAGGGGAGGGAAGAGGGCAAGGTGTGTGAGGGAAGGGCCATGGGAGGTGAGTCTCCTTAGAGAGGCCCTCCCCTCAGCCCTTCTCACCTGCAGGACGCTTTTATTCTTGTCTTTGCCAGAACTGGGGGGAAATAGACACAGGTTAGGGAACCCTATCTTTCCTCCTCTCCCCCACCCAGAGCCATGATATACTCTCTTCAAGGGGATAGGTACTCACTCACTGCTTGGCCTCTCCCCCATACCCTCCCTGGCTCTGGGTCATTGGCAGTGTCACCTTCTGCAACCCCTGACCTTCTCCTACCTCAGCCGCTCCAGGCACAGGTTCAGCTGCTCATCATAGCGATAGTAGTGGGCTTTAGAGTGGTCAAAGCTGCTGAAGGGGAGGCCAAGGTTGCTCAGTGCTGGCTCTGAGAAAGATAGGGTAGTGAGGTGGCTGGTGGCACACATTCCATACTCCTCTTTCCCCAGAGAGCAAAACTGGGCAAGAAGAATGCTCTGGGGGCTTTACTCTCCCGCGGCCAAGGACATACCTTCCCCACTGGGCTGGGTGACCCGGTCCAAACCTCGGGACTGGTAGAATTCCCGAATCCGTTTCTCTTCACCTAGAAGAAGGTGAAATATGAGAATAAAGTATTAGCCCCTCCTCACCCTTTGTCCTTCCCTCATCTTTGGCCTTCTGCCTACATGATTCCTACCAAAGCCCCTGTCACCTCAAGCTGCCACTCAGCAATTAGTCCTCAAGAAGCCCCTCAAAGTCAGGTTAGTCACTCACTGTCTTGCAAGCCAGGCACCAGCTTGTACACGATGTCCTGCATGACCCGGTCCAGTTTGAGGTTGAGCAGTGGCTGTGTCTCGTGGATCTTAATGTTGCACATGGGGCAGTACTTGCTAGTTTGGAGGTACTTCACAATACAACTCTTGCAGACTGCAGGAAAAGAAAAGTAGATTCTCAGGCCCTCTGGAAACTGGATTCATGGGCTGGGTGGGGTGCCTGGATTCGTGGGGCAGGCCGCACAGAAGCTGGCAGTCGGCTTGGTGAAGACTAGGGACTGGAAGAACTAGGCAGTCTCCAAGGCACTCACAAGTATGAAGACACTCTGTGATGGTGGTGGCATCCACGAAGTAGCCGGCGCATAGGCAGCAAACAATGTGTTCATTCAAGTCTTTGATCTTCACTCGAACTTCCTCCTGAATATACACCCTCCGTCACCAACCATCCACCCTCAGCCCCCAACCCGTGCGCCTTCCCACTCTGGGGGTCGCCTCCTTCATCACACTCCACGGCCAAGCCCCGCGTCCTGCGCCATCAGCCGGGGATGAGCTCCAGGGGGCTGGCACTCCCCCTCCGCCCAGCAGAGGGCTCCGCGCACAGCGGGGGCTTCCCTCACGTGGACTCGCCTGACCCTCCTTTCCCAGGGGAGACTACACGACGTCGGCGACACAATGCGCAGGCGTCCTAAGCGGAGTTTGGCAACTCGATCGCAATCACGCAGGCGCACTGGGTACTCTGTCTCTGCGCAGGCGCACTGGGCGCCCGGCCAGCCACCGCCCGTCCTTTAGCCCGCCCCAGTTCGCACCGCTGGCCGACCACAGCAGTAACCCTGCCGCCCTTGCACCTCGTTCCGTAGCGGGTCCATCTTGTACACTGACTGGAGCTGGTTCCGAAGCCTCATCGCGATCGCAATCTGGCCCCCCTGAGGAGACGCCATCTTAAAGGCTGATCCCAGCCTGCCACTTCCGGTGCCGCCTGCAGGGCGGGACTTGTCTCCCAGCAACGAGGTTCTAGGTCTTTTCGGATTCGCTCACCCTCTGTAAGGCCCCGCCCACGTTCCTTTCTCCCCGTGTGCTCACCTGAGCCCCACCGGCCCCTCCCCTCCTCAATCCGTAATTAAGGAGTGGTGGGGGGGCATAGGGAAGGGTCCTATCTCTTCAGCCTCCTGTAGAACTCATCATAGTAGACCCTAAGCGACCTCAAGACTAACTTTTGGAGCCTGCGAAAGACTGCCCCCTCCTACCCCCAAAGGCCCGGCAGTCTTGTGCCTGCTACCCGCTCAGGGTCGTCGGTCTTCTGTGACGACTACCCTGCTGAAGAAGCCCCTCCTGGGTCCTCTCCTCGTAATGCCGCCCTGTCGGCGTCCGCGGAGCGGAGCTTCATCCAGATGGCGGGCCTTCTCCCCGCTCCACGGAGGGAGTTTCTCGGGCTTTGCAGAGTCTCGGAGAGGGTGCCGGGGGATGGGGAGGGAGAGACCCCCAGGGACTTGGTAGTGATCTTATCCCCCCATTCTCCCCCTGCTGCCGGGGATGGGGGGGCAGGCCCTGGTTAATGATGATGATTTAATCATCGGCGCCTGCGGAGGCCTGGGACAGACTAATGCAGAGCAGATGCCGAAGGAGGAGGGGAGGACGACTAGGACACTGCCACACACAGACAGGCTTAGGCAGCGAGCGCCTGTAGTAGCATAGGCCCAGCCTCGCACTTGGGGATTACGCGGGATGCTCGAGAGCTCTACACCGCCAGCCCTGGGTACTTAAAAAAGGATAAATTTCCTTTGAGGTATTAACATCAAATGTAACTGGAGATTCGAGAAGGGAGAGATTCCAATGGAGACCTCAAAAAGGCTTTCTGGAGAAAGTGGGACTTTGGGCACAATTTAGACTTGGGGGAGGGGGTGGAAGTGTGCTGAAATAGAAAGGACGTGGAGGGGAATGACCAGAGGACAGGAAGGTCAAGATGTAGATTTGAGAGTGGTAATAGAAAAAGCAGGGCCTTAAAGAGTTGTAATTTTTAGCCTGAGGGCAATTGGGAGCTAGCGGACTTTTTTGAAGGGAGGAGGTTATCCTGTGAAAGCGACATTTTTGTTCATTTCTCTTCAGAGGGAATTGGAGTGAATATGCAGCAAGAAGTTATGAGATTAGTGATTAATCAACTATTCATTACAGCCACTGTTTATCTACTTCCCTGGTCCAAGTCACTATCCTCTGTAGTGGCTTCTTGACTGTTTTCCTTGAGTCCCCCTTCGCGTGTTCTCAACATAACAGCTCAGTGCTATGTTTCTCAGAGCTAGTGATTCTGATAAAATATGAAACACAAAGGACAAAGGACAATTTTTGAGATGTGGATGTGTTTATTATTTTTATGGTGATGTTGGTTTCATGGGTATATACATATGTCAAAACTTATCAAACTGTACACTTCAAATATCTGCAGTTTATATGTCCATTATACCTCAAGAAAGCTATTAAAAATAAAGTTGAAAAATTAGGTTGTGGCCGGGCGCGGTGGCTCAAGCCTGTAATCCCAGCACTTTGGGAGGCCAAGACGGGCGGATCACAAGGTCAGGAGATCGAGACCATCCTGGCTAACACAGTGAAACCCCGTCTCTACTAAAAAATACAAAAAACTAGCCGGGCGAGGTGGCGGGCGCCTGTAGTCCCAGCTACTCGGGAGGCTGAGGCAGGAGAATGGCGTAAACCTGGGAGGTGGAGCTTGCAGTGGGCTGAGATCCGGCCACTGCACTCCAGCCCGGTCGACAGAGCGAGACTCCGTCTCAAAAAAAAAAAAAAAAAAAAAAAAGAAAAATTAGGTTGTTTCTTTTTTACTGTTTAAAACCTGTTGAGAGCTTCCCTTTTCAATCAGAATAAAAGTCAAAGTCTTACAGTGGTGTGCAAGGGCCTGCATAGTCTCTTCAGATACACCAGGATATCCTTCCACTGTGTCCCCAACTTGAAATGCTTAGGCATCCAAAATGGCTCCCCCCTTCTTTCAGGTCTTTACTCATGAGGCTTCTGTAATCACTCTAGATGAATAACAACTCACCCACCCTTTCACTTCCTTGTTTTTTTTTTTTTTTTTTTTTTTTGTTAGCATTTATTAGCATTCTTAGCATTTATTATTATTTAATATACATTTCTAATATATATTATAAATATTTTCTAGTTATTTTCAGAAAATATTTTCTAGAAAACATATTTCCTAGTTTTTCATCTGCCCTTTCCACTAGACTATAAGCTTCTCAGTGGCAGGGATTTTTTTCCTCTGTTGTGTTCACAGATACAGCTCCAGTGCCAGCTGCATAGTTGGTGTTCAATAAAAATTTTCTGGATGAATACATGAATGAATCCAAGTGGTGGTGATGACAGCCTCAATTAGGGTTTTAGCAATGGCAATGGAAAGGAAGGGCTGTATCTGAAACATTTCAAAGGAAAGTATAATAGGAGGAAGTAGCCAGGAACCTGGCTTGGTAGGCCTGGGTAAGAGGGTGAAAGAAGAGCTTTGGAGGGAAGCATGTCCTCCAGCCTGCTGGACTTATGTGGCTGCAGGGAAGCAGGGGGAGCTTGTTAGAAGGCTAGAAGAGTGAGTGGTGGGGCTGAAGTGTCAGAACGAACCAGGGATGGAGGTCTCAGAGTTATCTGGCTGGATATGAGAGTTGGGACTTTTGGAATGGGTGGAACTTGAGCAGATGTAGAGATAAAGAAAGTTTAAGGCCTGGTGCAGTGGCTTACGCCTGTAATACCAGCACTTTGGGAGGCTGAGGTGGGTGTATACTTGAGCCCAGGAGTTGGAGACCAGCCTGGGCAACATGGTGGGACTCCGTCTCTACAAAAAGTACAAAAATTAGCCTGGCATGGTGGCGCATACCTGTAGTCTCAGCTACTTGGGAGGCTAAGGTGGGAAGATTGCTCGAGCCTGGGATGTTGAGGCAGCAGTGAACTATGATCGTGCTACTGCACTCCAGCCTGAGCAACAGAGTGAGATCCCATGTCTTAAAAAAAAAGAAAAAAGAAAGCTTAAGTGTGAGCTCTGAAGAATCCTCACAGTCTTCAGTGGAAAAAGCCAAATCAGTGGAAGAAAAACATAAGCAGTGACTACGAAAGTCCAAAGATGTGGAATAAGATATTACAGAAGCAAAAAGAAGGGACACTTCAAAAAATAATTGATGACCAACAAAGTAAAACATGTCAGGGAAGTCCTGGAGGAGGGATACTGAACACTGGAGCTCTCTGAGAAAGGGTTACTATAATGAAGGCAGCTTGCACTGAGTTAAGAATAAATCATGATGAAATGGAGGCAGTACGCATGAAGTAAAAAGGAAAGGAAAAGCATGATCTCTTTTGAAGACTCAGGCCAAGATTTTGTCCAGATAATAAAGATCTGAGACAGTTGAGGCATAGGAAAGACTAAGTTGATGAGAGCCACGGACACACAGGACATGGTGAGACAGATCCAAAGCAGTGTGTTTGAGGGGGCACTCATTCCAGCACCTCTATCTTCAACATAAACCAGCAGGAACAATCCTTTCCCTGTGAATCAGATTCAAGGAGGCAAGAGAGGACATTTCAAGCCAGGTTGGGATGGTGGCACACACCTGTAACTCTAGATACTCAGGAGGTCAAGGTGGGAGGATTGTTTGAGCCCAGGAGTTTGAGGCCAGTCAGCCAGCCTGGGCATCATAGTGAGATGTCTCTTAAAAAAAGAGAAAGTCCTAGGACTGTGGTCTGAGTGACATAACTGGATACCATCTGTTCTTGAAGTGGGGCACTAAAATATTTTTAAAACTCCCCAGAAGACTTGTATGAACTACTGAGTTTGTGACCATTCTTAAACGATTAGTTGGACAGTCTCTGGGTGGCAGTACCATCTGTGCTGAACTCAAAAGGCAGGGGTGTGTGTACGGGTCTGCATGATGTTGCCTTTTTTTTCATTTGTTGATTCACTCACGGACTCATTCAAGGATTTATTTAGGTTGGCTGGAGACACACTGGTTACCCTGCCCGCCTGCCCCCAGACTCACCCTTCAGAGCAGAGAAAGGGACTAGCAAACTCCTAACCTGCACACCAGCCCCCCATTCAGAGATTATATTTCTTTGCTGTCTCCCTAGGTTCCCTGTTCCCATCTGGGGGAATCCAGCCCTTGCTATCAAGGAAGATTTTTTTTTTTTTTTTGAGATGGAGTCTTGCTCTGTCACCCCAGACTGGAATGCAGTAGTGATCTCGGCTCACTGAAACCTCTGCCTCCCGGATTCAAGTGATTCTCAGCCTCCCCAGTAGCTGGGATTACAGGTGCCTGCCACCATGCCCAGCTAATTTTTTTGTATTTTTAGTAGAGACAGGGTTTCACCATGTTGGCCAGGCTGGTCTGTCTTGAACTCCTGACATCAGGTGATCTGCCCCCTCTTGGCCTTCCAAAGTGCTGGGATTACAGGTGTGAGTCACTGCTCCCGGCCTGAAGATTTGAACAGGTTCATGCTTCCTTGTAGCCCTCTCAACTGCTGAGAAAAGTGCATGGGTTTCTGTAAAGGGATGGGAGGTGATAATGTTGTTTGTCTTCTCCATCAAGATGAAAATACATCTGGTAAATTGGTAGGAGCCCCCATCCTCTTTCAGAACAGGCTGTGAGCAGGGCTGAGGAGGGGCTGGACAAATTGGATAGTAGAGGTGGTCAAGATGGGGGAGGTTGACACTTTTTTTTTTGAGACAGAGTCTTGCTCTGTCACCCAGGCTGGAGTGCAGTGGCATGATCTCGCCTAACTGCAAGCTCCATCTCCTGGGTTCATGCCATTCTCCTGCCTCAGCCTCCCAAGTAGCTGGGACTACAGGCACCCGCCACCTCGCCCGGCTAATTTTTGTATTTTTAGTAGAGACGGGGTTTCACCGTGTTAACCAGGAAGGTCTCAATCTCCTGACCTCATGATCCCCTCCCCCCCGCCGCCTCAGCCCCCCAAAGTGCTGGGGTTACAGGCGTGAGCCACTGCGCCCGCCAGGTTGACACT